AGCGGTTGGGTTACTACCCAGAAGGTTGGGTTAAACATTTAACCCAACCGCTGGGTCAAAACAACCCAATTGCTGGGTTTGTCCCTATTTTACCCAGCACTGGGTTGTATTTAACCCAACATCTTTTAGAGTGTAAGGTTAAATTTAAATAATTGATACTATTAATTTATGTTTAAAAATATTAATTTATTTGCAATCTTTTAAAATGATATCCTGTACTATAAAATATATATTATATTTTATAATAATTTATTATTAGGTTAAATTGAAATAATTAATTGAGACCATTAATTTATTAAAAATGCTTAAAAATATTTAAAAACGATTTCTACTTTTAAAATGATATCATGTACTATAAAATATGTATTATGTTTTATTAAAAAAATGTATTAAAATAAATTGAAAAATTAGTCATTATTAAATAATTGTTTTTATTTCTATAAGTATTTTTAGATTTGAATAAAACATCTAGACTTGTTTACCTCAGTTCAACAGTGTCTAGTTCTAGTATAATATCAGCTGAAGTGCACTTACATTGCATTTATGCATTTAACAGAAGCTTTCATCCAATGCAACTTGCAAGACATATATTTTAGAAATTTTGCATTCCCTGGGCAAAAAAAAAAAAATTTGCTTCATTGAGTAAAAATAGGCTGTTGCAAAACCATGTCCATCGCTTCCCAGTAGAACAACATATTGCGGAAATACAGCTTATAGGAACAGATATGTCACTTGGTATTAAATGTGGAGGATGTGCAGGACTGATTAATGATTTTAGCATTTGTGTGTGAGTTGACTGCATGTTACTTCTGTCTGGCTGGGGTTTTTTTTCCCATGCAAACATTCATGAGAATTTGCTCAGATATAATGATTAAATAAATAAATAAATACTACAGACCAAAGACCGTAAAGGAATTATAACTAAAGTTGCTTGTAGCAATTGCATATAAATAGAAATTGTTAGTTCAGCAAGTAAAAAAGCAGTGGATGTGGAGTGTAAAGACAGGAGAGAGAGAGAAAGATAGACAGAGAGAAGGAGGAAGAAATAACCGAGAGAGAAAAAAGACTCAGTGTTGGAAACACACAGTACGGCAAATGCAGCAGATCTCGTGGAATTCTGTCTGGATCTCTCCTGGCGGTTGCTGTTTATCCGAGACTGGCTGGGATGTGACAGGGAACGCAGAGTTGATGAGATGAGGAGAGACGGTGTGGAGCTGCTGGAGTCAGTGCTGCGCTTTAGTTTGAGCTGAAGCGTGATTAGAGGAGTTCAGGGTTTAGGCTTCTAATGGAAGACTCCAACATGCCTGAAGTCAACTATTTGCTCTCGGTGTCCTGGGGTTACATTAAGGTGTGTGTTTGTGAGAGTTATTCACTGGCACACATTGTTTGCCATGTATTGGACGTTTAATTTGGATGTTGCTTGAGTTTCTTGCATTGCTTGGTTAAAATATAATACGAGGACTGGCAATTCATGCAATGAGAAGTTTAGAAATATTGATACTGTATAAAGACTCGTCTTGTTTGTGTGTTTTAGTTCAAGAGGATGTTGAATCGGGAACTGACACATCTGTCTGAGATGAGTCGCTCTGGAAACCAGGTGTCTGAGTTCATCTCCAACACATTCTTAGGTGAGTCTGAACATTCTTTTCATTATCTTCATAACTCTTGTAAGAAAACATATTACATGTGGACTGATAGTTCCTTTGTAAACCCTTATTCTAGAAATAGAACATTCGTTTTATTGCTTATATGAATAGAATAGAATAGAATATAACCATAGGCGGAGCATGTGTAAGGCTGGCCACGGGGTCTTGGGGCAAAAATGCCACTAAATTGGACAAAAATGCTCCTGCACAAACAAATTAAAGGGATAGTTCACCCAAAAATGAAATTTTTTTGTTTATCTGCTTACCCCCAGGGCATCCAAGATGTAGGTGACTTTGTTTCTTCAGTAGAACACAAATTATGATTTTTAAGTCCAGCCGTTGCAGTCTATCAGTCGTATAATGCACGCGTACACACCTCACGCATCGGATGCTGTGCGCGCGCTCAAGGAAGTTGGACATAGTGGTGTATTAGAGGTAAAAAATTATATAAATACTGTTCGGTTTCTCGCACAAACCGATCGTTTCGTGTCTTAGGACATCAATGTGTCGTCACGAGCCGCAGGGTTTAATTTGGATTTGTCTGTGCATGTTTTTTTTACTCTCATAGATTTTGTTACCATTGCCATGCATTATACGACTGATAGACTGTAACGGCTGGACTTAAAAATCATAATTTGTGTTCTACTGAAGAAACAAAGTCATCTTGGATGCCCTGGGGGTAAGCAGATAAACATCAAATTTTCATTTTTGGGTGAACTATCCCTTTAAATCTATTACGTCTGTTGCTAACAACGTGTAAACGAATAGAAAGTGTCGACTGCGCATTAAATTAAGATTTGCTCATGTTGCACCGTATTTCATTTTAGTCGTTTTTACAGTTTTGCGCATTTTAACCAATCACACACGACTCTGTTGCGCTTAGGAGTGCAATGGCCAGTCAGAGGCGTTCAGATAAGTCATCGCTGAAATTCATCAGCTTTGTTGAATGCGCGCGCGTTCAGCTGACTGAATTCCGCGAATTCTCTCATCATAAACAACAAAGCGCAGATGTACAATGTAAGTAAGGGATTCATTTCGTAGTGTAGACAGCTTCAGTGATTATAACGATAGTTTTGGTTTTTTGAGAGTGCGATAGATCAAAGTTAGTGATAATGTCATTTCTGTACATAATTTATTCGCCGTTTGAATAACCGTGGGAAGGAAACGTTATATAACTATCAATTTCTAATGTTTTAATTAAATTGTAATCACATTAAATACAAATTCAGTCCCGTTAAACATATTTTATTAGCCTACATGACACCCATGTCTGGTTCTTGCCTAAAAAGACAGGTTTATGATGTTTGTAGTTAGGCCTAATAGATTTGGCTGCTTTTAGCCTTGCCCTGGAGTTGGTTCACCCTCCGCCTATGAATATAACTTATGAATATTCAATACTTTAAACTAAGTATTCAATGTATTTCATGTACTTAAACCCTAGTTAATATGAGCTCATAAAAGCAGTATGCATAATATGGGCTGTTCAAAAGTTTGGGGTCAGTATTTTTTTATTTTTTATTTTTATTAATTGATACTTTTATTAAGCAAGGATGCAATACATTTTGTTTTAAAAGTGAAGAGAGTAAAGACACAATATTTATAAGGTTATCAAAGATTTCTATTTAAATAAATGCTGTTCTTTTGACATTTTAGTCATCACAGAATCCTGAAAAAAATGTATCACTATTATAACTGTTTTCAACATCGATAATAATAATAAATGTTCCTTGAGCATCAGCATATTAGAATTATTTCTGAAGATCATGTGACACTGAGGAGTGGAGTAATGATGCTGAAAATTCAGCTTTGCATCACAGGAATACATTACACCTTAAAGTATAATACAATAGAAAACAGTTATTTTAAATTGCAATAATATTTCTACATTTTTCTATTTTTAGCATATTTTTGATTAAATAATTGCATCCTTGGTGAGCATGAGAGACTTTTTCAACAACAATATGCAATACTAAAAAACACATTAACCTAGAAAAATAGATATGAGACAAGATCGATTGATTGTTTCCAAAATCCCACAGTGTTTTTCCTACAGTATACAGTGTTTCATTTAGTGGGCTAAACTGAGAAACCAGAACATCTTGAGAAGCCATACTTCAGATGGTGATAATGATAAAAGGTTGTGGATAAAGAGGTTGTCTAGCTCCTCCATGAAAACACTGATATCTAGAAAGAGGGGGTTTGATGATTGCTGAATGTCTGTGGTTCGCCTGCACCTCTGTTATTCAAACCAGTCTGATCTGGTCTGGCATCTACACAGCAAGAGAGTGTGTGAGAGAGAGAGGAGGGCTGAAACTATAGTCTGCGTCAGATGCCACAGGGTCACTGTACTCCCCTAACCCTGCCGTTCAGAGCCCTACAGCCTACACACTTACTCACAGAGTCATCAGCGGGGAGATTTTCAGACAGACACTCTTAAAACATGCAGTGTTAGCGAGATAGTCTCACTCTCTTCGGAGTGAGAAACAGAGATGTTTAGAAACAGTAGAAAGGTTTTGAGGGACGTCACTGGAGAAAAAAATCAAGAGATCGCTCTTTCATCTCAGGAGACTTGTATGGTTTTTTCATGCTAGCGTCTAAGATGTTTCTCTTAAATGACCTCAGAAAAAAATAACATTAGATACAACTGAGTTGGATTGTCACCAGCATATACTTTTAAAAAAATGATACGTTGGAAAAACAAAATACTCAAATTTGTTACAGTCAATTTATTAATTTTTCATAAATTTTATTTATGGTTTGGTTCAAACCTTTAATTTTGATGTAATATTTATCAAAATTGATTGTTTTTTCAAAGACACAAGCATTCACACAAAGATTATTTATTGTAAAGACCATAATTAAGTAGTATATTTTCTTTAGACATGAGCCAAAATGTTACTTAACGTAGGTCAGTATAATACTTTTTTGCTTTTTATAACTTAATTTCACCAAATTTATATTTAGTTTAGTTCATACCTTCAATTTTTGTATTTATCAAAAATATATATTTTTCCAAAAACCAAATCATTCATACAAAGTAAAAAGATTATTTATTATAAAGACCATAATTACGTAATATATTTTCTTTAGACATGAGCCAAAATGTTACTTAATGTAGGTCAATATAATACTTTTTTGCTTTTTATAACTTAATTTCACCAAATTTATGTTTAGCTTAGTTCATTCAAAAAGATTTATTTTTCCAAAAACCAAATCATTCATACAAAGTAAAAAGATTATTTATTATAAAGACCATAATTCCATTATATATTTTCTTTAGGCATAAGCCAAAATGTTACTTAATATAGGCCAATATAATATTTTTTATTTTTTTGCTTTTTGCTTTTTATAACTTCATTTCACCATAACCTCATAAGGCTCAATTACCTATAATATGAAAGTAGAATTTTACTTAAGATATAACTAAAAACATTTTGTTAGTCAATGTTTAATTTAGTTTATTTACTATAAATAAAGGCAACTTTGAAAGACCTTAATGTTTATTGTGATGTCTTTTTTAAAATATGCATCATATTTTCTGTTATGTACTAACAAAAAAAGAATAAAAATAATAAAATGCACGATAATTTCTACAGTCAATAAAGCAAATATGTTCTCAAGAGAAAACACTATTTAAACAAAATTGTTCTTTAACAATTTAATTTTCTACGGGGAGTTTTATTTGCTTTTAGACAAACTGAACAAAACAAGTTTAATCTTTTTGATTTAATTTTGTCATTTCATCTTGTTTCAGTGCATATTTAGTTATCGTATTCCCATCAAACTGCTTAACTTGCATAACCAGTAAGACTATGTCAGCCAGCTTTTCCAGAAAGACCATGACTGTGCTGGTCCAGCTATACAGTACCAGCATAAACCAGTCTGGACCATCAATCTAAGCTTTTCTTTTCATCAGGGAATACTTAGCTGTAGCATAAACTGTTGAACTTGACAGAAAGGTTCTTGTAGGTGGCTTTCACTAACATTGAACTTCATTTTGCTGACTTGAACTCACTCAGTGAGTCTGTAAAGTCATGGTATCTGTTGTGAATTGAGTGTTGCGAGTGCTGAAATGAACAATCACGGGACGAAACCTTTCCCCCTGTAGATAAACAGAATGAACTGGAGATCCCATCGCCCACTCCAAAATCGCGGGACAGAAAGAGGAGGCAGCAGCAGCTGATGACTCAGATCAGCGGGGTGAGGAAGGTCACGGACGGCCCTGGTTTGCCCAGCAGCTGCAGTACGGCCCGCTTCGGCGTGAAAACAGATTTGGAGGACTTGCTCTCAAAGGTATAGTCGTACGTTACAGACCACCTGTTGCACGAAAATTGTGCACTTTTGTCGAGTTTGTACCGTAATTGGACGTATATCCTCTCTTGCCTTTTGTAGGACCTGGAGGACATTAACAAGTGGGGTCTGAACATCTTTAAAGTTTCAGAGCACTCTCACCATCGACCGCTGACCTGCATCATGTACGCCATCTTTCAGGTTAGTACGCAAAACTAAAATCCCATCTCACATGTCCAGAGATGTGTTTTTAAAAATGAAATGCAACTAAAGCATTTTTGTTTTCTGTAGGAGAGAGATTTAATGAAGACATTTAGGATCCCAGTGGAGACCTTTGTAACGTACATGATGACCCTTGAAGATCACTACCACGCAGACGTAGCCTATCACAACAGTCTACACGCGGCTGATGTGGCCCAGTCCACACACATCCTGCTTTCCACACCTGCACTGGATGTAAGAAACTCCTATATGTGACCCTGGAGCCCAAAACCAGTCATAAGGGTCAATTTTTCGAAATTGAGATTTATACATCATCTGTATAATACATCATCATCATTTGAAAATCTGGAATCTGAGGGTGCAAAAAAATCCAAATATTGAGAAAATCGCCTTTAAAGTTGTCCAAATGAAGTTCTTAGCAATGCATATTACTAAACAAAAATTAAGTTTTAATATATTTACAGTAGGAAATTTACAAAATATCTTCATGGAACATGATCTTTACTTAATATCCTAATGATTTGTGGCATAAAAGAAAAATCTATAATTTTGACCCATACAATGTATTGTTGGCTATTGCTACAAATATACCCCAGCGACTTAAGACTGCTTTTGTGGTCCAGGGTCACATATGTCATATAAATGTAGTTATAATGTAGTAAAGCTTTATTTATATAGCACCTTTTTAAACAGTTTGTAAAGTGTTTTAAAAAAAAACATACTGTATATATGAAAACAAAATTAGAAAGTAAAATAGAAATAAAAAATGTTTCACAACTGCATATAACAAAATAAGAGAATAAATGAAAAAATCTAATTCAAATGCTTAACAAAATAAGAGAATAAAATTTAAATGTATAAAAATGAGATGATAAAATTTAAATAAACAAAAAAAATTAAAAGCATAATCAAAACAACAGAATAAAATAGATCTAAATTAAATGTTTTTAATTTAAATTAAAATGAAAATAAGAGAATAAAGTAGAAATAAAAATTTAAAATAAAAATTAAAATACAAGATAAGAGACTAAAATACAAATAAATGAAAAAATGAAAATGCATAAAAATAAGAGAATAGAATTTAAATAACAAAACAATGTATAAACAAAGTAATAGAACATGGTTATAAACAAAAATAAATAAATACAAAACAAAATAAGAGAATAAAACAGAATTATTTTTTTATTAAATGCTGTTTCTTTCCACATTCCCACACATACTGCCAGTCATAGCTGTTTCTGAACCCTTTGAATCTCTAAACAGCGTGCAGTGTTTTGTCTGCAGCTCATTTTTGCGTTGTCTTCTTTTAACGCAAAAAATAAACTTGAAAAGACAAGCTCAAGTTTTTATCTGCTAAATATTTTGTTTCATTAAAGATCAGTGGCAAAAAGAGTCAACTGTTGTGTTACAATGCTTAAACTGTGTGCAACATGCTTTACTCAGTTCAATGCATTGGGGAAAGCTGATCTTTCTCTATTATTATCCACAGGAGGTCTTTACAGACCTGGAGGTCCTTGCCGCTATCTTTGCAGCAGCCATCCATGACGTGGACCACCCAGGGGTCTCAAACCAGTTCCTAATTAATACCAGTGAGTGTGTTTTTATCGACATACTGAAGACTATGTATGTTTATGGATCCAAACTGTTGCAGTTATTGAAACGCAAACCATATGATAGAACAAAGCCTCAATGTTATGACTGTTTCATGTCTCTCATAAACATCATTGCTGTCTTTACTGCAGACTCCGAGCTGGCGCTCATGTACAATGATGAGTCTGTTCTGGAGAACCATCACCTAGCGGTTGGTTTCAAGCTCTTGCAAGGGGAAAACTGTGATATCTTCCAAAACCTCTCCAAGAAGCAGCGACAGACTCTCAGGAAAATGGTCATTGATATGGTAGGCATCTTTACGCTTTTAGTGTTCACACAACTCACACAGAAGTTACTTTCAAACCAAGCAGCTTTCTGTTGGTCAAAGTGGCAAATTCGAACACGAGAAAAATCTGTGTGGGCAACTTATTCGCCCTCACAAGTATCTCCCAATTATGAGTATTTGAAATTTCATCGAGTAGGAGTGTTTGTTTCAAAACCTGAAGCATTTTCTCACATAGTTTGGTTCATTGACTGTAGGCATAGATCAACATAGCAATTGTGCTCGAATTCATACCAAAATAATCGGTCTGAGATTGCCTGAACTCTGGAGAGGACTGTTTGTGCTGAAAAATGCTGCCTAGGCTTACTGGAAATACGCAGCTCTACCTGAATTTCTGCAAAACTCAATAAACGTACCTATACTTACGAATCGCTGGAGTTTCCAGTTGAAATAAACACTAGATGCAGTAAAACGCAGACAACTTTTATTCATTTTCACACAAGTTATGATTTACAGGGCCAAAGTTTTGTTTCAGAAAGCCAAATTTTCGCACAATTCCTTGCACAGTATTATGTTATGACTTCAAAACAATTTTAACATGCTGCGAGACTTGAAAACGGATACTTTTGAATGTTAGCATTCAACATATACAGCTTCATATGTATGGGTTTTCAAATGCAGTAAGTTTGCCCGGTAAGGGCAAACCTACTGCATTTGCAAACCTACACATGATATGGCATTGCACTTGTGAGGTGAACCACTCCGGTACAAATCCTGTGAAACTATGGTTTGACAAAACTATGGAAGCCCGTTTCTGCCACTGAATAAAAAATAAAACAAGGTAATTGCGACTTTTTATCTCGCAATTCTGACTTTTTTTCTGAGTTCATATCTTGCAATTCTGACTTTATAACACACAATTGCGAGTTATAAAGCCAAAATTGCGAGTTATAAAGTCAGAATTGCGAGTATATATAAACTCGCAATTCTGACATTTTTCTCGGAATTGCGAGTTTATGTCTCGCAATTCTGACTTTATAACTCGCAATTGTGAGAAATAAAGTCAGAATTACGAAATTGTAAAATCAGAGCCCAGTGGAGATAAAAGTCGCAATTCTGAGTTTTTTTTCTCGCAATTGCGAGTTTATATCTCGCAATTCTGACTTTCTTTTTTTCTCACAATTGCGAGTTCATATCTCGCAATTATGACTTTTTTTCTCACAATTGCGAGTTATAAAGTCAAAATTGCGAGTTATAAAGTCAGACTTCCGAGAAAAAAAGTCAGAATTGCAATTTATATCTCGCAATTCTGACTTTATAACTCGCAAAAAAAAAAAGTCAGAATTGCGAGTTTATATCACACAATTCTGAGAAAAAAAGTCAGAATTATGAGATAAAAAGTCGCAATTACCTTGTTTTATTTTTTATTCAGTGGCGGAAACGGGCTTCCATACAAAACAGCTCAAACTCGCGTAGAAGGAAGTTAATATATGAATGCATTTTTATATCACTTTTTCTTTCATTAACACTATCGGATAGGTTTAGGGTTGGGTTTGGTGTATGGGACATGTTATTTTCCAACACGATAGAGAATTACCTTTTAGCAGCACTTCCCAGACATTTGAAATCTGAACCCCCGCAATACATGCCTGTACCAATGTAATGAAAACGTGGCCATGGTCACATATATACGTAAACAGACCATAAAAGCCAAAAATCTACAGAAAGCAAATGATCTACAGCACCCTAAGTTTCAAAATCTTTCCATAGGTACTAGCAACAGACATGTCCAAGCACATGAGCTTACTGGCTGACTTGAAGACAATGGTCGAGACCAAGAAGGTGACCAGTTCAGGAGTGTTGCTACTTGACAACTATACAGACAGGATACAGGTGAGTTCTGGCTTGTGTGTCCTCAACAACATATGTTTCTTCACTACTTGTTCCTCAAGTCAATATCATTCAATGTCCTGTCTCACAATGTCCATAGGTGTTACGAAATATGGTTCACTGTGCCGATCTCAGCAATCCCACCAAGCCATTAGATCTGTATCGGCAATGGACGGACCGCATTATGGAAGAGTTCTTTCACCAGGGTGACCGAGAGAGAGAGCGAGGCATGGAGATCAGCCCGATGTGTGACAAACACACTGCTTCAGTGGAGAAGTCTCAGGTGGGAGTCCAAAGAATCCTTCACATTTAAGTCATTCCTTGTGGAACAAGAAGTACACTTTAGCATACTTTAGTGTACTTACAGAAATAACATACTTTAAAAGAGTATACTTAAGTGTAAAATTAATGTAATGTTTTCGAACACTTAATTGCATGGTATTTGTAAATTAAAATGTATTAGAATTTATAGCTTTAAATGTATAACTTAAGTGTTTTTTGACCCACTTAAGTAGAACTTAAGTACATCTTAATATGCAATTCCATAATTCTGTAACCATTGAAATATGGTTAAAGTGTACTGCTGAATGTATTGACAAGCATTTATGGTAAAATAAAATTTACTTTAATATCATTTCTATTTAAACTTGTATGTCAGGTAGTTAAATTTATTTGCAATTACACATTTGTAATGATGAAGTTGCAATTTAGTACATTTAACTAGTTAAATTTATAATCAAAATACTTCTTTAGTGTGTCAGTCAACAAATCAAAATAAGTGTACTTCTCTAAAACATGAAAAAGATTAATAAAACAATGATTTAAAATGTACTTTAAAGTAAAACTTTACACACAACAAATGCTGGGTTAAATGTAACCCAGCGCTGGGTTAAAAAGGGACAAACCCAGCTATTGGGATGTTTTGACCCAGCGGTTGGGTTCAAAACAACCCAACCGCTGGGTCAAAACTGGGTTAAATGTAACCCAGCATTTTTTAGAGTGTACATTTGACAAATGTTTTCTTTTTACAAGCATACTTAAGTGTGTTACGGAACAGTAATTTAAGTGGCCTTATATTATCTGCAGATGCAGATTTTTAAAAATATACTTTTTAAGAATTTAAAATTGTTCAAAAATATACTTAAAATTTGAAGCACACTACAAGTGCACATGTAATGCAATTAAGTGCACTGTTTTGTTTACAAAGGATTGGTCAAGTCAAGCAGTTTCTAGAAGGAACTTACCATGTGGTTTTTTTGTTTTCCTTTTAGGTTGGTTTTATTGATTACATCGTGCATCCACTATGGGAGACCTGGGCGGACCTGGTGCATCCAGATGCGCAGGATATCTTGGACACTTTAGAAGAGAACAGGAACTGGTACCACAGCATGATACCACAGAGTCCCTCCCCTCCCTTCTTTGAAACGGGAACTGATGGTGGAGACAAGTTTCAGTTCGAGTTGGAGGTTGAGGAAGGAGCCAAGCAGGATACCGAGGACCTGTTAGAAACAGACTGTGTAGAGATAGTGACGCATTTGCCTTCATCCGTCGAGACGTAGCACCTCACTACAATGGCTGTCATGTTGGCCAAATTTGATGACCGAGCAAAGTGGAGGAACGTTATTCTCCTGCTACCTGAGAATCCCTCAGAATACCACTGTGTTTTTGGGACTCTGCCGTTGTTTCAGAGCCAAAAAAGGGAGTGAGCCTACACAATCTAGTTGGAATTTGCAAGAATCCATTCAAGTTGGACATTGCCAGAATGGACAGACGGGCAGCCGTACCAAAAGTGCCATAAGCTGGATTTTCTTAATCAGACATTACAGTCTGATCTGAATGTTGGAGTGGGTTTCTGTGAAGGAGAAATGCTGACCCTCTTATAAGAGGGGTTTGTACTACATTGTCAAAGTTACTTTTTTGTAAAAAAAAAAAACAACAACAACAAAAAACTACTTTTTTTGTACTTGTGTGTTTTGTGACTTTTTTTTTGTTGGTGTCACATCCAACTACACATTTGAAAACATGAGAAAGGTTGTCATGCTGAAAGCAAAAGCATGTAATTCCCAGTCGTGTATTGGGAATGCAGTCTTCCTGAATTTTGGACAACAGAATAATCTAGTTCTTGTGCCAGCAAACTTTATTCAAGTAATACAAAACCTTTGTACTTTGTAACGAACAGTTTCTCTTTTAAAAGGCGTTCTTATAAAGCGATTCTTCTGGTACAATTAATGTGACATTTTATGTCGTATTAACTAAAAACACGATCCAAAGAGTCCAGCATTTTAGTGGTTACTCTTAAAGGAATGTTCTGGGGTGAATATAAATTAAGCTCTCTCAACTGTATTTGTGACCCTGGACCACAAAACCAGTCATAAGGGTAAATTTTTCGAAATTGAGATTTATACATCTTCTGAAAGCTGAATAAATAAGCTTTCCATTGATGTATGGTTTGTTAGGATAGGACAATATTTGGCCGAGATACAACTATTTGAAAAATATCTTCATGGAACATGATCTTTAATATCCTAATGATTTTTGGCATAAAAGAAAAATCTATCATTTTGACCCATACAATGTATTTTTGGCTATTGCTACAAATATACCCCAGCGACTTAAAGTGCCATCAGAATTTTTTTGATTTTGATTTTTTTTTTTGAAAAATCCACGTGGTCTGTTGATATATCAAAATCGTCTTCCATTGTGATGACCTGTACGTCTAAATATCTTTAGATCTTCACAGTGGCAGGGA